AAAGCTTGTTTTTACTTGAAATATCTCTTTAGTGTGAATGGTCTTATAATTTTAATTGCAGCATTTTTTTCTTTGTGTTGCACAAAATAATAGTGTTTTTTTAATATAAGCAATAGTCTCTTTGATTTGATGAAATTTGAACTATGTCAATGATCTGAGGGCTTTTGTGCTTGACCACCAACATACTCTCAGTTTTCTGAGCAAGTAAAGTAGGGTTTGAGATGAGGTAGTCTGTTGATAGGGATGTGGTCAGTACAACCCCTGTCCTGGTTTGACCTTCAGCTCCACAGGTTACTAGCTGAGTTTGTGGGTAATTTGCTTAACTTCTCCAAGTTTCACTTTCCAATCTCTGTGTTTAAGAAGACGGTTGAATGAGATATATGTATAGGAAGGAAGAAAAAAAATCCACTTGGTATGTTACCTAGGCCATACTGTAGTTTTCAGGTACTGTCTTTAGTTTTAGTTCTTGCCCATTGTTTTTATTATTTTTGATTGAAGTGAGCTGTGAATGATGGAATAACTGTCCAGGTGGGTGGGAGAATGAGCTAAGAACAACAGAAACAAGGCTGAGAACCTATCAGATAATAGAAATGGTTTAGTCACCTTTTTTGCTCCTGTGACTAAAGGATCTGACCAAAACAATTGTAAAGGAGGAAAAATTTATCTGGAGACTTACAGTTTTTGAGGTCTCAGTCCATGGACAGCAGATTCCATTCCTTGGAGCTCAAGTTGAGGCAAAACATCATGGCAGAAGAGGGAAGCAGCTCACATAATGATCAGGAAGCAGAGAGAGTCCACTTGCCAGATAAAAATATATCCCTCAAAGCCACATCCCCATTTCTCTCCTCCTCCAGCCACACCCTTCCACTTCAGTTACCACTCATTTAATCACTATTAGGAGATTAATTTGCTGATTGGATTAAGGTTCTCAGAACCTGATCATTTCTCCTCTGACCCTTCTTGCATTGTTTCACACGTAAGCTTTTGGGGGACACCTCACATCCAAACCATAACAGAAATATAATAGAATTACAGAGGCTCAGTTGGCCAGGTGGTGTGCCCTTCTCCAACAGGGCTATACTGATTGTGCATAGGTGTGGCGATGGTGGATTGTACAGTCAGAGGTTCGACTAGTTGAGGGCAACAACATGCCCATCATTCTGCTGTGGCTGGAATTTTTGCCTTGGTTTTTCTGGAGCCAGGAACCCCTTTTCCCTACAGCCACATGCTCACCCCCTCACCTCCTTTAGACTGCTCCTCACTTCTATACTGACAATCTCTCTGACCATCCTATTTAAGGTGCTTCCCCCATCTCACCCTCAGCCTGCTTGTTATTTTTATTGGTGAGTGCCGGGCACCTAACATCACAGTAATTTTTTTTAAAATTTCTTTTTTAGTTGTTGATGTACCTTTATTTTATTCATTCATTTATATGCAGTTCTGGGAATTTAACCCAGTGCCTCACACATACAATGCAAGTGCTCTACCACTGAGCCACAACCCCAGCGCCCCCCCCCAGTACATTTTTATTTGTTTGTTTTTATTGTCTGCCTTTTTGACAAGGAAGGCAGTGGGGACAGTTCTGTTCACTGCTGTATCTCCACTTCCTAGTGCAGAACAGACACATATAGGATTATGGAAGAAATAAATGAATAAATGAACATAAAGAGCAAGAGGGCAATTCAAGCAATTATCAGAAGGGGAGGTTGCCCTGGAAGGAAATGAAGCCACAGGGAGCTGAGGTTCACTGTTCATTTATTCAAAATTCTCTCTTGAGCACCTACTTTGCCTGCTCTTCTAGGTACTGGAGAGGAAGCAAGGAAAAAAACAAAAAAGCGATATTCTCTGGGACTTAGATTCTACTGTGGGAGAGAGAAACAAGATCAATAATTAATTATGTACTGGGTTAGAAAAGGATATATGCTGTGGAAAAGTGGAGCAGACAGAGGGGAGTCAAGACTTCAGGAAAGAGAGTGAGCGGTTACGATTTTAAACTGAGTAGTTGGGGGCACTTTGGGCAGAAAGTGGCCTTTTAGCACAGGCATGAAGGAGATCACAGAGTGAATCCTAAAGCCACCTGGGAGAAGATTTTTTTTTTTTTCTGAGAAGAAGGTACAGCTAGCACAAGGGGCCTCAGTTAAGAGCATGCCTGAAACATAAGGAAATCGTCCCATCCGCCTCCCAGGCCAGAGGGACTGCAGCAGAACCAGGCATGGGAGATCAGGAAAGGAGGATGGTGCATTCCCTGTTCAGGGTATTGTCGGCTGTTGCAAGGACCTGGGATTTTATTCTGAGCAATGGGACACCAGGCAGGGTTCTAGGTAGTAGAGTAACAAGATTGGAATTCTGTTTTAAATAGACTTTGAGATAATTATCCTCGTTTTGTAACTAAGGAAACTAAAATTCAGAGGGTGAGGTTATTTATTTAAAAAATCACAATTTAAGTGGCCATGCTGGGATTGGAAGCCAAACATCCTATACTCATGCTCTCAGCCAACATACCATCTCCCCAAAGGACACATGCAGCCTGGGCTCCTCAAATGCCAGGAAAGCAACATTCCACTCCAACATAGCCAAAGCCAAGGGCTCTGTCTTACAGTCATTCTTTGGTAATGTTTTCTTCTGGCTTAAGGGAGCTGCTGCCCTTACCCACTCCCTCTACCTGCTGTGTAAAGTAAACACCAGAAAATGCTGATTAGAACTAAAGATGGCTCCTTGTCTCATGAACTCAATATTTCCATTAAGGTTTGAATATCCTCCTTGTCCCTGGAGGAAGGGTATCACCAAAGTATTATCATCTCAGGCCCCCAGATCTAGAGGAACTTCTGTCTATGAAATACCAGCTCCTTCTGTTCACAGCCCTCATAAAGGGAACTCCCCTATCCTGTCCCCTGATTCTCTGTGGTCATGTTTGAACCTTGTGATACAAGCTACACACCTTTATGACCCAAGGACCATCAATCCATTGGCTTGGCTGTGACATGTTACAATGGTCCAGTAAGATTCTGCAACTCAGTGGAACTAGAAAATTCTAGGACTGAGAATAAGAGCAAATGAATACATGGAAGAAGCAGAAGGGTAACCAGAGGAAAATGAAAGAAATAGTCCAGCATAGTACACGTCTGAAGTCAGTGCTGGTCCAGGCTGGTATTGATTGTTTCAGGTCCTTTGATGCCCAGAAATAATGCCCGGGCAATCTAAACAAAAGCCCTATTTTTGCTGAGGTGACTGGAAAACTCATCATGCCACGCTGAAAAAAGTCCCCAGGTCACTCTTTTATATATTCTAAAGGTGTATCCTTCTGCTCACGAAAACACCGGTTAACATGGTGGTTCACCATTCTCCATCTGCCTATCATCCCTGGGCCACCTCCTCATGAGCACTGAAGAGCCAGTCGCAGGCTGGAGTCAAGCCCAGCTCTCCTGGCTTACATCCCTAGCATTTCCACTGATTCCTCCCTTTTCTGTTCTGGAATACAATATTCTAACAATTGAAAGCATTTCTTCAACACCCTCTTTTTCTAATAGGTATCTTTCTCTTGTTTATTATGACTGTAATCCAGTTTGAAACAGAGGATCCCAAAAACAATCCTAGCAAATTAAAGCCACCTTCTAATATCTAATCCAATCTCATAAGTGCTTTCTGAACAGTCATTCTGTGTTGGATGCTGGAAATCACTATGCAGATGGCAGATAAGTAATCTGAGGGGTTTTTTTTTAAGCAAAAAATAAAAATTAAAAAATTTGTCATCTTACTTCAGTTTGGGTAGCCCAGTTCTGGGGCATACAGAGAATTCTGTTTTGAGGAACATAGAAAGTAATGATTTCTCTTTCCTGTAAGCTTAAGAACTCCAAGTTGGTCATTTGCTGACCTAGCAAGCACGTGGAACATCATGCAGGAAAAACTGATTAAAACGAAAGATGTCTCCTTGTCTCATGGACTGAAAACTGCCATTAAGGTTTGAATACCCTCCTTATTCTTTAAACCCTGGCATCCTGCCAAGTCATTAACTTTCTGATAGCCTGTCCTCTCCCCCAGCTATCTGTTCCAGATCTGCACTTAGTGACTCAAGTTTCATGGCTGCTTTGATGGGAGTCGGGAATGAGCAAACACGAGGAACGCTAAAGCTGCAAGGACATTGCCTGAACTGTTCTGAACCTCAGCTTAATGCAAGAGGAAAACTGGGTAAAGCAATGCTCTTCTGCCTGTGTTTTTTTCCATTCTTCTTTAAAAACTGAACATGCAGCAAAACTGACCTTTTCAGTGTGTTCAGTTCTACAAATTTTGACATGTGTAAAAAGTTGTGTAACCAAACCAGGATCACCCCAAAATACTCCCTTATTATTCCTCTGTCATCACTTTCTCCCCTCAACCCCTAATTCCTGAGATCACCAATCATTGATCTCTTGCCCCTCACTATGATTTTGTCCTTTAGAGAACTGCTCCTAAATGGAATCTCACCTTATGAGACTGGCTCTGTTCATTCAGCTTAATGCCTTGGAGATTCATCCAAGTTGTTACAGGATTCAATAGCTGGTCCCTTTACAGGGTTGAAGATTTTTTCATTATTTAGATGTGCCACAATTTGTTTATTCATTCCCTAGTTCAAGAACATTTAGGTTGTTTCCAACTTTGAGTGACTATGAATAGAACCACTAGATGAACATTTATGCATAGAGTTTATTTCTGTTTTGTTTTGAACTTACATAGTTTTCTATGGTAAATACCTAGGAGTGGCTTGCTAATCATGATGGTAGGTACATGTCTAACTTTTTTATTGAAAAACTGCCAAGATTTTTTCCCCCAGAGTCCTCTGCCATTTTGTACTCCTGCCAGCAAAGTATGAGAGTTCTAGTTATTTTGCATCCTCGTTATCATTTGATATTTCATTATTTTCTGCTTTAGCCATTTTAATAGGTGTGTAATTTGGTTTTAATTTGCCTTTCCCTAATGGCTAATGATTCTGCATATCTTTTTATATGCTTATTTTCTATCCATACCTGCTCTTTGGTGAAGAATCTGTTTAAGTCTTTCATCCATTTGAAAATTGGATTTTTCTCTTGCTGATATTTGAGGACTCTTCTTTTTTCCTAGACAATTTTTAAAAATTTTTATTAACATGTAATAACTGTACATATTTATGCATTATAATGTGATATTTCAATACATGCATATAATATTTGTAGGTCAGACCAGGATAATATATCTATCTCCTTATCATTACTTGACTGTGGAGGATTTGAGCTCCCTCTTATAGTTATCTACAAGGCATATAATAGGTTATTGTGAACTACCCCCCACACACACACACACACACACACACTTTTCTGAGGAAAGCTAGAAGTTATTACTTCTAACTTTGCTTGAGTATGTGTTACCTAAGGTCCAACTATCCTGTCTCTACCCTACCTTTCCCAGACTCTAGGAGTCACAATTATGCATTCCAATGAATTTTTTAACATCTATATTTATGAGATAGAACATGTGAAATTTATCTTTCTGGACATGACTTAAAAGTCTGCCAGTTTCATTTTGCTCTAAATAACAGGATATCATTCTTTATCAACGTGTATGTTTGTCTGCGTGTGCACATGTGTGTATGCACACATTTTCTTCATCTATTCATCACTGAGCACTTAAGTTGATTCCATATCTTTTTAAAAAATTTATTTATTTATTTATTCTAGTTAAGGAATACATGACAGCAGAATGCATTTTGATTCATTGTACACAATGCAGCACAAGTTTTCATTTCTCTGATTGTTCATGATATAGCATCACACCATATGTGCAGTCATACATGTACCTAGGGTAATGATGTCCATCTCATTTCACCATCTTTCCTGCCCACCTGCCCCCTCCATCCCTTCCCTCCCCTTTGTCCAATCAAAGTTCCTCCATTCTTCCCATGCCCACCCCTGGTTATGGATCAACCTCCACTTATCAGAGAGAACATTTGGCCTTTGGTTTTGGGGGATTGGCTCACTTTACTATAGCATGATATTCTCCAACTCCATCCATTTACCTGCAGATATATGTGGATTCCTTATACATTTTGGACTAAAATCCTTTGTTAGAAATGTGACTTGCAAATATTTTCTCCCAGTATGTAGCCTTTTTTTTTCTTTAGTCTATAGCTTTTCTATTCATGCTCTAAATAAAATCTTTTGCTTAGCTAAAGTTTTGAATTTTGGTGAAGTCCAGTTTATTGTTTTCTTTGTTCATGGATCATGCTTTTGGTGTAATGACAAAGATTTCTCCTTAACTTCAAGTCATAAAGATTTTTATCCTGTTGTCTTTCTTCTAAAAATTTCACAAGTGCACATTTTATATCTGTGATCCAGGTGGATTTTGTTTTATTCTTTGGACTGATAATAGGATGAAATGCATTGATCAATATTCAACATTGAATCAATCTTTCATTCACAAAATAAATTCCACTTAGTTTGATGTATTCTTCTTTTTTTATTGTTGCATTTACTTTTGTTGAAGACTTTTTCATATGTTTCATGAAGAATATTGGTCTGTAGTTTTTCGTACTGTCTTTAGGTTTCACATAAGGTAATGATGACCCCCCAAAATGTGCTAGGCAGCATTTCTTTCTCTTACATTTTTCTTGATAAGCATTTGTAGAATCAGGGTTATTTTGCTTTACATGTTTGGTAGAATTTACCAGTAAAACTATCTGTACCTAGAAAGATTTTTTAAAGATTTTTAATTAGAAATTAAGTTTCTTTAATAAGTATAGGACTATTTAGGTAATCTGTTTCATCTTTGGTGAGCATTGATTTTTTTTATTTTTCTTTGAATTATTCCACTTCTTTCTAAGTTGCCAAATTGGCATATGTAGTGCAACTAATAGTTCACTCTTATTATCCTTTTAATGTCTATGTACCCTGGAGTGATATCCCCTTTATTCCTGATATTGGTAATTGGTGAAATTTTTTTGGTCTTTCTTTGTGTGTGTGTGTGTGTGTGTGTGTGTGGTGCTGGGGATTGAACCCAGGGCCTTATTATGCTTATGAGGCAAGCATTCTACCAACTGAGCTACATTCTTAGCCCAATTTTTTCAGTCTTGATAGACATATTTAAGAACATGTTTTGGGTTTTATTGACTTCTCTATTGCTTTTCTATTTTCAGTTGCATTAATTGTGTTCTTATATTTTTATTTCCTTCTTTCTGACTCTTTGAGCTTATTTTAATCTTCTTTCCACTAGTTTCTTAGATTAGAAATTCAGATGATTGATTGGAAGCCTTCCTCTTTTCTAATATAAATATTTAGTTCTATAAAAATCCTCTAAGCACTTCTTTGGCTGAGTCTCCTGAATTTCAATGCATATAATTCATTTTTCAAAATTTACTTGGAATCAATATTTTATTACTTGAAGTGAAATATAGAAGCCTTACCATCATATAGATCCCTTTATCTCCCTGTTTTATGTTATAGTTGTCTTGTTTATTACATTTATTTGCATTAAAATCTTCATCAGATGACAATTTTTAATGTCAGTTGTTGAGTATATTTTAAAATAGTCAATAAAAGAATAAGAGTCTGCTTTTTAAGGTATTTAACCATGTCTATTGTTCTTTCTTCATTACTGTTGTTACACATTTACTTCTGGACAGATTTGCTGGCAGTGAATGCTCTTAGTTTTTCTTCATATGGGAATATCTTTATTTCCCCTTAATTCCTGAAGAATATTTTCACTCATAATTGAATTCATATTTAAAGTTCTCCTTCAGCACTTTAAAAATGTTGATTCATTTTCTTTTCCATTAGTTTCTGCTAGGAAGTCTATAGTCATTAAAATCATTATTTCTAAGTAATGTATTATTTTTTGTTGATGGTTTTCAATGTTTTTTTGTTGTCTTTAGGTTTCAGCAGTTTGAATAGGATTTGTCTGTGAGGGATGGGGGTGGGGGGTTGGTAATATCCTCTGTGGGATTTACTGAATTTCTTGAATCCGTAAGTTTTCTTCTCCTACTAAATATGTTTTTCCCCCAGCTGTTATTTCTTCAAATACTTTTTCTCTACCACACTATTTCTTTTCCTTCTGAGATTTTGATGACATAAACGTTAGACTTCTTCATTATATTCTACAGGTCTCTGAATTTCTTCATTTTTCTTTTTCTCTCTGTTGTTCAAACTCAATAATTTCTACTGATCTATCTTCAAATTCACTTTTTCCTTTATTAACTTCTTTCTGTTTTCAAGCCCTTCCAGTGAGTTTTTGTTTTTAAGTTGTTGAGTTTTTAAGCTATAGTTTTCTAACATTTCAAATGGATTTTCTTCCTATTTTCTGTTTCTTTGCTGAGGCATCCTGTTATTGCCTTTATATAAGTGTTTACTTCCTTACTTGATGGCGCATTTTCCACACTAGCTCTGGTCACCAGCCGTCCATGGGTTGTGTGTGAACTATTGCTCATAGTAGGCCTGGCACTGCAGGCTCCCCGTCAGGGAGTGATCCCATGATGCAGGTGCGCCTCCCCCTCCAGCTCTGCTTAAGATCCCACACAGCACCCGAGATAGGTGTGACTTGCCAAGATGTCAATCAATCTGCTGACCACAAGACATCCCCAAGCAAGACTCCACCCTTGAAACCTTACCCCTGCCTCTGATGATCCCTGCTATGAAATATAGGAAACACGGGCTCACACTCTCTTTCCAGCACTCTTTCCAGTGTGGAAGCTGACCCTTAAGGACACAGAGCCATCCCGCCCTCGATTCGAAAAACTTACAACTGTGTCATGTGATTTTTTGCCACTTTCTTAGTTTAATGTTGCAGCCAGGTCTTTTAAACTCAATTCATCTTGTCTGCGTGGGTCACGAACAAGAAGTTCTAGTAGCAAAACCGTCATCAGGTAATTCCAATGTCTGTGTCATCATGGTTTCTGTGTCTTGTCACTATCTTTTCCCACATGTGTCATGCCCTTCCTGGTTCTTATTATGCCACATGCTTCCAGATTATATTCTAGATATTTTTACGATTGTTAGGAGACGCAAGTCTTGTTTAAAATCTACAGAGAATATTGATATTTTTGCTTAAGCCAGCAATTGACATTCCAACCAGCCTGTTGAGGTTGTGACTCCAATATCAGTGCAATTTTTAAAGCTTAGCGGCCCTATTCAGACCTGTCTCAAATGCATGCCAGTCAATATCCAGTCAGTGATCTGGTTAATAAGCAGTGGTCAGTACCACTGTTCAGCTCTGAATGTCCACATGGTCTAAAGTCATGCCCATGCATGGACAAATTGAAAATGAACCCAGCAGTTCATAAACCACTTTAAGGAGATGCAATTCTGAGGTCCCGTCTTTCTGTCTCCTTAGTACCTGCTGGTTTCCTTGGGGTCCCCACTTTGTTCTTCTGGTCAGAAAGTGGAAGTTTTGGTAGATTCACTCTATTCTGTATTTCCTGCATCTCTCCCTGCATCTCAGACCAAGTGGCAAGAAAACACAGACATGGAAAAAGCCACAGGAGTTTGTTCACCTTCTTGGGGCTATTACCCTTCCAACCAGAGAGCATGCCCCTCTGGTAGGTAGAGTTTGGACTCCTGCGTGCATGTGTTACTACCACCTCTGCAGTTCTTTTTTGGTGGCTAAAGTAAATGAAACACTAGAGAAAAGGGGGCAAAAATGAAGCTAATGGTTTGCCCAAGGCTCTCTGAGCTTTAGTTCTCTTTCCCATTCTTTGAGCCAGAATTAGAAAACCTCTCCTGGGTTCCCTCTATGTAAGCCCCCAGGACCAACTTTAGGTTGCAGGAGCCTTGAGTTCATGCCCAGGAACACCAGAGCGGGGAGAAAAATGATAAACTCACCATTCTGGTCTTCTCTATTTTCTTTTTCAAGTCTTCAGATGTTCCGCACAATCCTGCCCAGTTCTAGAGGTTCGTTCTGTGGGAGAAACAGGGTGTAGGAGTACACTTACTCCATTGTACCTGAAATCAGACCTCTTCAAATTTTTATAAACGCCTTTAAGCGGCAAAAAAAAGAGACAAAGATAAATGAGTTTTTTTATTCTAAATTTCCTGCCTAACTGAAAGCTTAGTCTTATTAATGCTAGAAAAAGGAAAAATGTAAGTGTGGGTGGATGAGGTGGAACTATCATGTAGTCATGTGAAACATTTCAAAGCCAAAAAAAGGAAAGAAACTCTTTTAAGCTTTACTTTTACAGGCTTCTATTTTACCCAGTACCATCTGTGGGAAAGGAAATAAGAAGTGAAAGGCAAAAATTAAAATAAGTTTTGGAATCAGTAAAAGACTAAAGAAAGTTTTACTGGGCAAGTGCATATGGATTCAGGAAAGAAGGAAACCCGCTATACTTACTGAGGTTGTTTTGTACCATCTCCAAGCCAGGACTTGCCAGGAATTTCCCTTTTTCCATTTACCCTGCTCAGAAGCCCACCACAAAGAGCAAGGCTTGGGTTTGCACAAGCCTACGCTTGAGACCAAAATAAAACCCTTTTACCTCCTAATATAGGACTAAGATATGAGAACTGATCTGAAAGCCTTTTTTATTGCTTGTCTTTGTTATTTTTTATAGTCGTATGTGTCCTTGATATCCTTACCTTTCATCCACAGAAATACCTAGTGTGGGGATTCTTGAATTTCTGTGTTCATGAGGTTAGGTCACAATAGAGATCGACCTCTACACAATGTGCCATTGTGTTAGCTGGTTTCAGTCTGAATCTGTGAATTTTGGTGTGTGTGTGTGTGCACGCGCGCATGTGTGCATGCGTGGCTGGGAAATTTTCAAAATCAAAGTTTAATTAAGAGTAGAAGGGCTGGGGATGTGGCTCAAGCGGTAGCGCGCTCGCCTGGCATGCATGCAGCCTGGGTTCGATCCTCAGCACCACATACAAACAAAGATGTTGTGTCCACCGAAAACTGAAAAATAAATATTAAAATTCTCTCTCTCTCTCTAAAAAAAAAAAAAATTAAAAAAAAAAGAGTAGAAGGTCCTAAACTGGGAGACTTCTGATTATCTAGCTTTTCTCCCCTCCCTTTCCTACAGGTGTCTTTGTAATGGACTCCCATCCTGTTCTTGGTGAGGTCAGAAACACTGTTTCTTCCACTTGTCAAGGGCTGAGAATAAGGAAATAATATCTGGGTACAATTTATTAGACAAAAATACAGACTATTCATTCTAAATGAGAAACTACATTTACTTTGAAATCTGCTCTATTTGCCTGAAGATGACTCTCAAGGGAAACATCCTGGAATCTCTGCTGAAACAAGGGTTGTTATTACTCAAAGCACTGTCCCCTTCCACTCAGGAGCTTGGCAGGATACAGAATTTTGAGTTTTGGGAACTGAATTGCTATCAACCCAACAGCCCTGAACAAAAGCAACAAGAATGCAGGCGTTGTGTGTGTCAGGGAACCACCCTTTCTTCACTTTTCCTGACACTGACCACAAATTCTTCCTCGTGATGGGAAATCCAGAGCATTACTTAAGTCATATTTTGACCAGACCTGAGAGTTAATTCATTCATAAACCAACATTTATTGAGTTTCCTGCTACGTACAACAAGGCTTTGTTCTAGATCTATACACTGGGAATAGAAACAACAAAAGAAGTCCCTGCCACAAGGAGACTACATTTTAGTGGAACTGTCAAAGGGTAACCAACAACCAGAGAAGTACAACATAGCGGCAGGACATAGTAAGTGGTGTAAAGAAGCCGGCAAGGATGGGGAGGGAAAGGGAAAATATTTAGGGAATGAGATGGCCAAATTATATTGTTATAATGTATGCATGTAATTAAGAATTCCATCACTATGTGCAATTATAATGCACCAATAAAATACAGAAACATTTTAAAAATAAAGAGGTTGATTGGTGGAAGACTGGTGTCATTTGAATCGAGATGGCAATAGTAAACTTCTCTGAAGAGATGACTTAAGTAGAGGCTTCAGTATAAAGAAGCAGTGAGGTAGTCAAAGGGCAAATGATCCAGACTGAGGAATCAGTGAGGCTCTGAGACAGGATAAATGCTTAAGGACCAAAGAGAGTTGATCCAAATAGAGCTGATTGGAAAGGAGGAACAGCTGAACTGCATGAAGTAGCTTTTGGACTTCCAGCTCTGTTCCAAATAGGAATCACCTGGATTCATCCAGTCCCCGGTGTTCCTGGAGGACCCAAAGGGGAGGGAGCCTAAATGTATTTCAGATACCAGGTCTCTTTAATAAGAGCTCATTCAATACGAGATTTTGGCCTGTCTCCAGAGCCCTGAAATAATTCATTCAACAATTTTTAATAATTAGGAAGTGCCAGGTACTGTATGATTACTCATGATTATGGCTTGGAAAAAAAAAACTGGAAAAATTGTCCTTGGACTTACTTTCCTGGGAGGTAATTGCTACACTGGTAAGTGGTATTAAGTCAACTAGACCTGTTGTAAGTTTGAAATACCCTAGGACAGAAGTGGCTATTCTTCTTTCTGCGTTACTGAGTGCTTCTCGTGGAATCCTCCAAGCCTCAATCCTTGGTTTTCTTCCCTATTTTATACTATCTTCTTTGTTATCTTCATCCAATCTGATAAGTACAGTCCCTGTGCTCATTAATATGAATCTTGCATTTGCATACTCACATATCTTGACCTCTGAATTCATGTACTTGACTGCCTACTTGTCTTCTCCATTAGGCTGATAAACATCTCAAACCTAATGCATCCAGCATTGAATTCCCAATCTTCCTTGCAATCCTTCTCTACCCACAGTCTTCTTTATCTGAGTAGACAGCTTTACCTTTGTTCAGTACCAGAACCTCAAAATCATGCTTGACTTCTCTCCTTCCTTAAATTTCATATCCAGTACTTCAACAAATCCTGTTGGCTCAATCTTTAAAATATACTCAAACTCTATTATTGATATTCTTGCTGCTACCAGCCCAGTCCAAGCCACCATTCCATTCACCTGGATTATTGCAAAAGTCTCCTGTCTGGTTTTCCTGCTACTACTCTTGCTCCTCTGCAGTCTGTTCTCCAAATGGTTTCAACATACCTTCAAACCAAAAGTTGGCTCATGCCACTCCTTTGCCCAAATTTCTGCAATGGCATCCCAGTATATTGAAAATAAAACCTGAAATCTTACAATAGGCCACATGGATCTTTCCTTCTCTGGGTTCCCCGACCTCACATCAGTTCCTTTCCTCTTTGCACACTTCTTTCTAATTACACTTGCCTCCCTGCCTTCAACTCATTGGGTCCTCTCCTGCCTCACCATTTCCTCTTCCTGGGTGCTCTTCTTGGCTGTACACATGGCTGATATCTTCTTCCCATCTTGGCTTAAGTACCACCTTCTTAGTGATGCCTTACCTGAACATCCTATCTAGAATTGCAGACTTCTCCACAACACTCATTATCTCCCTTACCTGCTCTATTTTCTGGAGTAGCACTTGTAACTTCTAACACATAATGTAATGTACTCAGCTTGTTGTTAACTGACTGTCACTACTGACTAGGCATCAGTTCCACAGGGACAAGGAGTTCTGCTTGCTTTGCTCACTTGTGGAATCTCAAGTATCTAGACTATGGTCCAACAACACTAGGTGCCCAGTAAATATTTACTTTGTTCATCAACTGATTGTAAGATATGCAGCCTTTCTGGTATACTATGGCTATGTCTAAAACAATTCCTTGCATTCTAAGCCTTTAATAAATGTCTCTGGCAGCCCCTTTAGCTGTAAGAATGTACTAATTGTGCAGTACTTCATGAAAGTTTCTCATCTAGTTTCTAGTTCATGGAAACTTTTGCAGAAAGGTCATCATCAATCAAATACATTTCATTTTTTTTTCTTCTTATAGGAGTATAATAGATGTATAGAAAACCTCATCTATTATAAGTGAACAGCTTGTCCTATGTTCACAAAATGAAGTCACCATGTAGCCAATACTCAGAGGAAGAAATACATTACCAGCACCCAGCCGCCCACTCCCACTTCCCTTCATGACTTCTAACTTTATAGATTAGTTTCAGCACATTTTATTTTAAATCCATACTGGGATTCTAATATTTTCATTACTGTTTATATGAAACTGACTTATAGTCTAAATTCCCCTTCTCATTGACAAAGAAATACAAAATTGGAAATATTTTAAAAATTGTAAACAGAAAGAATTTATCAGATGCTCACACTTCAAAATAGGCTCTCTGGCAAAAATCAATTAAACATAGATGATTAGACATATCTGCTTTCACCTCAAGTACATTTAGGAAAGACTGTGACACATGCTATTTGTCAGAAATATATGTCAAGTGCTAAGATAATCCTTTATTGCTGCATTGGCTTGTAATAGTGATGCTTTTATATTTATCAGGATTTTTTCTGAAAGTAAGAGAAGCTTGCTGAAGAACCATTTTAACATATGTGGGTGAGCTGTTGTTCTCGGTCCCCTCACCTCCCCAGCTCTATTTTCAGCACTTCTCTTCTCTGCATGGGCAGATGACTCAGACTTCTCCTTGCTTCCCGCCTTTCCCTCAAACTGCTTCTGATGTCATGGGGAATTTCCTGCAACCATCGATGGGAAAGAAGGAGACGCTGCCTGGTTCAAGGATGGGGCAACTCTTCCAGTCAAAGGGAAAATCTCCTTGTAGACAGAACCTTAGGCAACCTATCTGGTTGGCCATTTAACATGAAATGAGATCACCTGAGGTTTCCTGAAATACACAAGTGTATATAGGCAGTGGCCGATGGCTGGTCAACTTATACATAACTTGGAAGATTGGTGCCAAGTTCACCTGAAGGGAAGTTATATGGTGCATTTCTAAGACAGGCTACAGTCTTTGAAGCTGGGTCCCATGTAAATGTCTCCCAGAGAACACTGCATAGAAGGCTAAATAAGGAGGTGGCCATGGCGACCTCTTCATGGGTTGCCAGTGAGTGTCCTTCCTTGGCTTCCGTGTCTTGAATATTTTTATCCCCTCAAAACTCATCTGTTGAAATCTAATCACCAATGTGATATATTAGGAGGTGGGGTCCTTGGGAAGTTATGAATAGAATTAGTGCTTTTATAAAATTAGCCCCAGAGA